CAACTTTCACAGTGCGAACACGCGAAGCGAGCAGTCAAAAATACTATCAAAGAGCTGTAATTAAACGAACTCGAACACGAAAACGCATTGAAGAATAATTCGGAATACGACTTTAAAGACACGAAAAATACGGAAATAAACATTTTGCAAAAATGTACACCGACACAAAGAATCTCGCCCATCAGCTGGCGGATATGAGCCTCACAGCAAACGCAAGCACAACTTTACCACCCACCACCGCGCCAGCGGAGAAGTCAAAGCGAAAGCTTTGTAAATTGTGGCGTCCCCTTTTGCGTCTGATGGCAGCACGCAAGCGCAGCAACACAACAAACGGAAACTGTGGAAATGTCTCCAGTTTACAACACCCAAACAATGTGCATCTTAACAATGCCACTACAGCGGCGAAAGCGCACACCACCGCCCACACCGCCACCACCTGCCCTGGTGAGGAGTGGCCCACCACGCTAATCGAAGACTATGCCAGTCTGATGCGCAAAATGAGCTGCAAAGAGGAGTGCAATCATGGCGCGCGGGAGACAACAGCCACAGGCACAACCAGCACCACCATGCAACGCGAATGGGAGCGCCCCTGTCAGGCGAGTGCCAAATTTGCAACAACAGTTATCAGCAGCGCTAGCATCGAGAAGACACCGCCCAGCACGTGTGCGCACTGTGTCTATGGGCGAAATTGTCAGCACGAGCAATTTCATCATCACATCTGCGATGCAGCGGCGACACAAGCCTCAACCACAACCACAACCGCAACCGCAACGCCAGCGGCCGCAAACACAGTGGCTGGCACAGTAGTAGCTGCTTCACACCGTTTACCCGCTGTGACAGACGCCGCGGCGTTGCTGAGTCAGCACGCGCTTGCCGCCGACCTGCCCATTCAATTTATTCACACCGAAGATGGCACCTTCTTCTGGACGAACGCGCAGGAGAAAATCGATGATGACCTGCTGACAGCATGGCTGTGTCAGAGTTGGCGTCAGCTGCCTGTGCCGGCTGCAGTGCTGTGAGCGGTGGTGGTGTTAATAGCGCCACATTAAGCTTTCATTTGTGTGCCTTTCCTGTATACTTTCGTGCTGTGTTAGCTGAGAGGCAAGCGGCACTATTCGTTACATTCATCAGGGATCTCATTGTTATTTAGTTTAAATTATTTTATTCATTTACTTAAGTATATGTATGTATGTAATAGTATGTAATGCTTACTACATTTTATTTAACAAAACAAAAGAAATATGAAGCGGATGGGGAGGGGTGAAAGTAACAACATATTTACAACGCACATAAGAATGCCTCTTTGCAATATAATTATTTGTGATATGCTTTAACTATTTTTTTCATGGAAATTTTAACGTAGTTTTCGAAAAAAAATATATACAACAATAAAACCAGTGGAAAAAAGAAACAAGGTAATCACATGTTTTACTCGGGGTTTTTGGGAAAATCGATTAAGCTTTAAAGAAAAAAAGTTGAGTAGTTACAGTTCTGTACAATATATGGGTAATTTTTTTTAAAGACACCAAGAATTTTTTCCGTGAATTTTGACGACACTATATCGGGAATTCAAAAAAGTGTGTTTTTGAAGTTATAAAGGCGTTGAATTTGAGTGATTTACCGGACTTTGCCGCATTAAAAATTCAATATTTTTGGCTCCAATAATCGTATTGTACCTACTTTTATTTTTAACCGACTTCAAACAAGGAGGAAGGTTGTCAATTCATCGGCATATTTATTTTATTTTTTTTTTTATGTATTAACGGTATAACTTTGAACCACGTGAACCGTTCTCGATAATTCTCTTTTATCAGAAAGGTTGTATCTCAAGGTTGGTTCCATACTACTATGGTTTTAGTTTCGACCATTGGATCATGAAGAAACTACCGGTACTCACAAAGTTGTACATGAGAATTGAAGTCGGTGAGCGCGGCCGTTGTGGTGTAGTGGTCAGCAGTGCGCGCTACCATTCCACAGGGCCTGGGTTCATCAAGCCCATTTGCCGACCAACAACAAAAATTAAAAACCAAAAAAGTTTTTTCTAATAGCGGTTCTCTCAAAAATACAGTCGCCTTCCGGAGTGTGCCACATCAAGGCTCACGCCATAAATCGGAGAGGAAGCTCGACCAAACACTAACATATTCAAAACCGGTTTACGTCCCTGTGTAAAATAGTAAATTTTCTCAATAATAAATTTTTCGACAGGAAACGTGGTGTTATTGTGTTAAATTGCAAAATATATGATTTATAAAAAGAATTAATAGTGAAAATGTTAAAAAACGGCGATTTTTGTGAAAGATTAGCAAATTTAAATGCATCTAAAGTTTTTATATGTTCGAAAAATATATATATATGGAAAAAACTGCTTTACACAGTCAAGGAAGAAAAATTGCCAAAACTCAATGCAATTTTTAGCAACTTCAAAATTAAATTTTTTTTCTAAATAAAGTCTAATTAAAAAGTTTGCAATTTAGGTAAAACCATGCCGATTTTTTTTAATTTTTGTACAAAGTTTGATCGAAAACCTGAGATCTACCACATTTTTTTGAAATCTACCAAATTTTTTCCCAGATTCTACCACACAGAGTTTTTTTCAAGTCCGATCACCGCTGCTCAGGTTGCTCATACAGGACCACCATAACTGCTACATTTTTGGAGGTGAGCGTAGCTTAATCTGGCGAATAGCCAGAGGGCCCACTTAAGGCTTCAGCCTTTTCGCTCCTACATTTGGTGTTCCCGATCAGCTTGCGTACTCTACCTTTCCGAGCGCCGGTAAGGTACTAGCACTTCTTCCATTTTGGGTTGAGCCTTCAAATTTGTGGTCTATGAGTGCTCTGCCTAACTCCTTCCGCGACTGCCCAAGATATTTATGTGAATGAATTAGAGAATCTTCCTCCTATTTCGTGGAATTATTTTGTTTGTATGAAAAGACTGATTCCATAAAATGAGTTTCGATATGGAAAGATGGCGAAAGTCAACAACCACGGTATGACAAGAGTGTTTGGAGTAGAGCTCTAGTTAAAAATCTACTATCCGGCTATTCGGTTAGTCGACTAGTCGATTAGCAACTTTCTTGTCGATTGATAGTCGGATAGCAATTATTCGATTAACCGCTCGAACTCGACTAACCGTCAACTTCAACTAACCGCTCAATATCGAGTAGTATGAAAATAGAATAACCGAAATTATTCGAATAGTGACAGTTTTTCACCATAAAAATAATTGTTGTTAGCGCGGTTGGGTTTTGTCAATATTCAGAATTATAAAAAAAAAACAATGTTTCCAGAAAGAAAAAGTTGTTTGTGAGCGGTTAGTTGAAACAGGCGAAAGGAAACCGTTAGTCGATTAAGTGAAGTCGATTATTTTTTGAAACAACTTTTGCTATTCGACTAATCGATTAGTCGACTTGTATATAGTGGGTAGAGAAAAAGCAGTTTGTATTGTTGTATACTTATGGGTGCATATCAGCTAGTCTAGGCCTTTGAGCAATGCGTATCTCGTCACAACACCAACAAAATCCATTCTCGAATGCCACCTTTTCCCAAAGCAAGTAAGCCTTATAGGTGATACTTTCATCGGTTGTCAACGCGGCAAAGTGTTAGCAGCAGGTTAGCTGCTGCTTTGTATAAGAATTAAAACGATTTTCTTTGAAAAAAAAAAACCACGATCTACAGCTAAGAATATGTAAATTTAAAAAAATGAAATAAATAAAAAAAACAAAGAAGTAACACTAAAAGCAAAGTCGAGATAACGATCAGCACAACAACAAAAAAGCAAAACAAAATAACGCTTGTAATAATAATAGTGACAACAACTTTGGCTTGGCTTGAGGCACGTACTCATTTTCCCACACTTTTCGAGGTGCTGAGCTGTCGCTGATGGACGTACGGACGCACGGACGAACCAATGCATTAGCTATGAATGGGTGTAACGGCAGTGGGGCGACAAACGTGAGCGATCATCACTAAATAACTTGGCTGTGAATGTGAGAATATTTTTGTTGTTCATTGCAATGATTACCGCAATTGTGGTGAGTCTTTTGTTGACGCTCTCAAGCAATTGTTATTGTTCACTAGTACTCGTATTTATGTTTGTTCAGAGTCGCAAAATATGTTGTAGTTAAGTTTATTGTTGTTGTATGCGAAAATTCACCACTCCCTGAATAGCCGAACGAGACCAATTTGTTATGCTGGTCAAGATGCCACAACGGCCACATGCCAATCGTTGTTTTTAACGGATCTCGTTATCATAATAACGTTATAAATGTCAGTGAATGATTTTACTATCCAGGCGGCAATTTTACGAATGGGACGGTTGGCGGTTTTGCGGTTTTGTGGTTGGTGGCCGATGTTAGACGAGCTTATTTGCATACATAATTTTAGGCACTCATGCGTTTGTGAGGCTGATGAGTGGGGCTACAATTGGCAATGTAGTATAATGTGGCAGCTCAATCTCGTAAAACTTGGCCATTCACACCGGAAATGCTGAACACTTTCTTCACTAAGTTCTAGCTGAAAGTTATTTGCGAGGCCAGTGCCCCGTGATGGTTGCTACGCTTCTGAATAGAAAGATGGATGGATATAAATAGAGTCAGCACTGCGACCAATGGGTCTATTATGCTCTCAGCTCATCACAACAATTGGATACCTAGTTTATGGAGTGTGCGTGCTCTACTCTTGGCAGAGTCACAAAACCATCATAGATCACTTGACCAGATTCCTTAAGATTATAAAATTGTCCTCTTAGCCTACAGAGTCCTGCCAAAATACCTGTAATAGTTAATAGCCTCTTTCTGGGGGAGATTTAGGAGTTGCCTGTATCTCTTTAGCTCCCCCCACCCCCTAGTAACCTCTTAGCTTTTAAGAACTATGGAGTTTCACCAATACGGTTCCCACAGTTTGGTGTATCGTGTTAAATCCTACCGCAAGGAAAGGCTCAAGTGCTATCGAATCGAGGCAGCAGCCATTCGGACTAACTGATCGGCTTGCTCATTTCCTTCGACTCCTTTGTATCCTGGCATCCATATAAGTTGGATAGCATTTTTCACAGCAAGGACATCAAGCTGCACTATGCACTTCAGGGCCAGGTGCTGTCTGACAATAATTTTATATAAGGATCTTCTCACTTCGATAATTCCTACCAAGTTTAATATCTATGTTCAGACTAATGGCAGCAGCTTCTGCTTGGCAGATGCTTGGAAAG